AAGTGTTGNATAAATTTAATTGAAACATAATTTCAACACATTATACCTATAAAAAATGGGTACACAGTAAATTCATACCGATCAAAAGAAAAAAGAATGGTGGAGCATACAATATTTCTCTTAGGCATTCCAACAAACACTTGATGTCCATTATGGTTGACAGCAAATCNCCCTGGAATAGATTAAAATTTTGTGAAAAAGAATAATAAGAACTTCGCCTAATTATTCGGAATCAAAAGATATGCAAACATTAAGCTCCAAATGTTTGTCTACCAAATAATCAATTCAAGCAAAAGAAATACNGCAGGTATGTGTAATTGTGTGTGTGTGCTAGGTGTGTATCTGTGTGTTGTACTATGGCTAGGGGTTTGTGTGTATGCGAAGTGTGGGGGTGTGTGTGGTGGGTGGATGTGTGCGATATTGTGTGTGTTGTGGGTGGATGTGTGAGTGTGTACATTTTTCGTAATTTATGAAAAACAGGGGTTAAGGAGGGAATTTTGTGTGTGTCGTGTTTGTGTATGGTGTGTTGTGTGATGAAGACAGAGAGAGGCATATGAANCTCAAATGATTAATAAGAAAAAAAAATTTCTCAGGTAGCATTACATGGAAGACATTACCACCACCAAATTTCTAAAAGATAGCAAACATATGCCAGAAAACAAAACCACTCTGAAGCAATACAATGGTAGCCAACCTCAACAGCTAAATGCACGGGAATGTTTAGATAGAATTTCCTCTAAAANAGTAAATATTTTTCTATGGCATTTCAACAAACACTTCATGTGCCATGGATTGGATGTAACGCCTCAAAAACCACCCTGGATGGCATTACCATTTAAAAACATTCATGTCATGAGAGCAACTAAATAAATTCATCATTAAAGAACATCCTTAATTTAACAAAATTCGGGCAGAGTCTCCTTTGTATGGGAAGCTCTACCCAAAACACAACTTGTGCAATTATACTACATTGACCACACCGGGTCCATTTACCCATCAAATAATAAAATTTCATTCACCACATGTAATATCCACAATATCATCCCAAAAGAATAGGCTAAACTATGACATTTACATTCCAAAAGAATTATACTCAAACTTAGCAGCGGAATAAACAAAATACTAGACTATACATGATCGTAAATAAATTCCCTAGTCTAGCACAAAAGTAAACTATAGCTCTAGATGTCCACCTCAGGATCTAGGTTCCCCTCTGGTGGAACCTCCCAATTTCCTGGCTCGTCAACGCCAGAATCTTCCTCTAGCACGAAATCTAAAAAGAAAATATTATTGGTGGGGGGTGAGCACTAAGCTCTGTAGGAAAATCCTCTCAAACTCTAACAAGGTTTGAAAAACGTAGAAAATGGTCGGTCTCATTTCACAAATAGCATACATAAAATTTGAAAGAAAATATGACATTTTCAAATATCTCAAGTTTATACATTAACAATAATTAAGTGGAAGAGTAAGTCAATCCCATCATAAATAGTCATTCCAAAGAGTAATTATTAAGTGCAAGAGTAAAGCTAATCTCACCATAAATAACCATTCCAAAGAGTAATTATTAAGTGCAAGAGTAAAGCCAATCCCACCATAAATAACCATTCCAAAGAGTAATTATTCCCACAATAATTTTCAAGATAATCATATCCAAAAGATAACGCAATAAACAATAACCATAATGTGTCTCAAGTCTGATATAAGATAATCGCATGAATAAACACATCGAGAATATCCTAATCCACACACACACAAATCCTCGCAAGGATATCAAACTTTGGGAAGGGCGCCTACCGATGCATTATCCTATACCAATGCACTGGTAATAACGAATCCGACCCAGACATAGTATACTAATCCTCTTACACAGCACCCGTGAGCTAATAGTGATTTGGTCCTCGCAAGGCACCAACCTCATTATGAGTGGTAGAAAAAGTTCAAACCCACACAGAGTAATAACCACGCACATCTACCCACTCTATTATACCCGGTCAATGGCCACCCATGGTCATCCAAACACCTCCATGAGATACAATCACCAACAATTTCTCAACAAAAGTTCATAATTTTCAAAAACCCCAAATTCCATAGATATTTCTCAAATCACATTAAATCTCAAAAATCCCCAATTTTCTCCCATATGATTCCAATAGAACAATTTAAGAAAAATATGCAAGAGATCATCAAACATATATTTTTATTGTTCAAACACAGTACTAGGGTTTTGAAATCAAGAATTAAGGAATATCAAGAAGAAAAATTCTCTATTTTTTAAAAGAAACAAAGGTTTTGAGATTTCAAGGATTTCATGGCTATCAAACCATAACTTCATTCCAAACATGATAATATTTGTAAGAGTATCAAGAAATAATGATTTCATAACATATATCTAAGATTTAGAAGCAAAATATACATAGATATAAACCCTAGCCTCAATGTAGGAGAATGAGAAGAAATTTCTGCCTAGAATCAAGAATTTCAAGTGAAAGCCCAAGCCCTATAGACCTCCTTTCTCCTCTCCTTCCTTTCTTTTACCTTCTCCTAGGATTCCAAGAGGTGTGGGGTGAGAGTGGAGTGAAAGAAATGAGGTTAAAGGGGCTGAAATCAGTGTTTTAAACACAGCCAACCCCGATTTTTACTGTTTACAGTCTGTTTTGGGTTTCTCCAAATTTACGATTTTGCCACTAAGATCTCCAATTTGATCCATATGACTATTCTAAGGTTTTTAGACGTTCTTGATTCATTTTTAATGTTATTTTAACCTAAAAATATTTATTTTTATGATTTATTTCAAAAATAAAATAAATTTACACTCAAAATTTTAAAATTACTATTTTATTCCTCCATAGTATTTATTCTTACGGTTTCAATATATATGGTTTATTCTTACGTCATTACATATATAAGAATCACTAAAGAAGTACATTACTATATTAATATAAACATTTGGGGGTTTACACCTTCAAGTCTAAGAAGAAAGTACAACACTTTACTATCCAAGGAACACCACAGTGGAGATTTTTTTATCAACTTCAGAGAATAAACTGATTTGACTCAGGTAGTTCTAGTATGTGTGACCTATATGGTTGGAAAGATATACGAGTTAGGGTTCTAACAAAAATAACGGTGCATAATTTAGACTTTTCAACAAAGAGTTATGATCAAATTAGTGAAAGATAGTCTACCGGACTGTTTGGTTCTTCTATACTTGTTTGGCGCCTAAATATACTTATTATTCTTATATTTTAATTTATGATATAAATAGAGACGTTAAATACAAAATGAAGCTAATTGGACGATTGTTGATAGTTTAGACATGTAGGGGTTTACATTGGAGTTGTGGGGAAGGGGTATGGTTATGTTGGTAACCGAAGATGGAAGAGAAAGAAGGGAAAAGAGAAAGAGAGAGAGAGAGAGAGAGAGGAGAGGAGAGGGACAAAGAGAGAGATACTTGGAGAGTGAGAATCGACGTTGCTGGCGACGTCTCTACTGGCGACGTGAGAGTGAGAGAGGAACAGAGCTGTGGTGGGTTGCTGTTTGGACAAACAAAGAAGAGAGAAAGATAGATTAGAGAGAGGGGTTAACGGTCGGGTGAGAAGGGAGGAGAGAGGAGCAGTGAAATTTGGGGAGACAGAGATGGATTTGAGGGAAACATATAGGGGAGAAATGACTTTGAAATGGTGTTTGTGGGTGAGAAATGATGAATTTGGGGGGAAAGGATAGGTTATTGGTGGCCGTTGGATGAAATTAATTGTGACCGTCCGATTGGCTTGTTAGAGGAGAGAGAGAGAGAGAGATAATATAAGGGAAGAAAATATTGGCAGTGAGTGGGGGAGTATTGAATTATGATATAGAAGGAGGATAATTTTTGGAGAAACTCATTTTATATGAAGATCAAGCTGTGAGACCATGTTAGGTTTTGATATGATTCAAGAAGATTTGCTCACGATCTTGTAATCTTTGCATCTATTGGTTACGATATTGAAGATAAATGGTTTATTTCGTTGGATGGGGCATACTAGGTGGCATGGTTTTGTTTTTGAGATGTATTTGTGATCCCGAGAGGTGTGTGGTATAATAGGATGTACTAAGTAACCCTTAGTATGTAGTCGAGATGAACCTAGTATCAAACCATGAATGATTTGAAAAATTGGAGAATTGGGTTTCGTACGATTTTTATAAAGGGATTTGTATTAAATGCTCATTTTATTGTTGATTCTGCGATTGATTGTTGAATTATCTTCTGTATGTAATGTTATAAATTACATATTGGCCTTCCTAAGCTCATCCCCATTTACCCCCCTCTCAAATGTAGGTTGGGAATGAGTGACATTAAATAATCGGATCGATTGAGGATTATGGAGAATATTAGTTATTTATTTTCTGTAATGGTTTCAATAGTTGGCAATTTGAAGATGGATTTTGAGGTTTTAGTGCTCTATATTTGGTGAAATTGATGGAATTGTAGGTCGCGCACCGAATTCAAGAGGATCAAGTTTGGGGCGTGACATAACCCAAGAGATTAGGAGGGAAAACAAGTGTTGGTGCAGAGTGAGGACCTTGAGAAGAAGCTCATCGATTCTACTAAATTGGAAGTCCCGAGAGCTATCAAAGTGGTTGAGTCACCTAAGGAGTAGGTAAGAGTGTGGACCTAGGTATACATAGTACTGATTACATTGAATCATACATAGGTCCATGCATTGTAAATATTGCTTTTTCTTGTTTGTCATTATTGAAAACATAAAAGTTTGCCTTGGTCGAGAGTCACCTTCTTATTTTTCTTGCTGCTCAATGAAAATTAAAGTTTGCCTACACATACACGTAAGTGATGAAAGAAATAATTTCTGGAATATCATTAACACCATGTGGAAAACTGAATGGCCTGATGGTTTTAGTCTGTATAGTAAACCAAGTCTCATTTCAGATGTCAAAAGACTCGAAACAGAGAGAATAATTTTGTATATACAATCGAATAATGGCACTGCAAACAATCCTCTGGGTCATGATGCAGCCAAGAGAGCTTTGGCTGGTGGAAACATAGCAACAGCACCTCTCTGAGGATTGGAGTACTTCCTATAAATCACCTTCAACTTGTGGTCTGCCGCCATTGAGTGGAAGCTAACAAGTAGTTTAGCGCAATCCCTGTTTACAAAATCAATATAACCCGCATTGATGTCACATACATTAAGCGCAACAGAAGGAAAAACAGTAACAGGAAGGAAAAATTATAAGTACATCAGTTGTGGCTCTGAGAAACCCGTATGCAGTTTTAGAGTCTCATTCCATGAAGGGATTTTGTTCAAGGTGCAGCGGGCAGCGTACACTGCTGAGGCAGCTATCTTTGATGGACAGTACATTATAGTGGCATAGTTCATCATAGCCAACTCAGCCAAAAAATAGACCATATTTTCCATCTATTACACGTTTAGAAAAAAAACGAGAATTTAGTGTTGGATGAGTAGGATATATTTATAATGGAAAATGTAGATGGTAATGTTGAAAAAGTAATCAGAATAATCGAAACTATGTATGCCAGCACTCACATCCGGATCAGGAGTAGAAGCTTTAGTGAAACGCACGAGGAACACAAAAGGCGTAGGAACAGTCAGTTTCCATTCCAACTGACCCAGTATGCGTTTCTCCATGACCAACACCTGCTGATGAGTATAAGCTCTATCTGAGATGCACACAAAGTCATTGACCTGCAAATTGTAATTCCGGAAATTTGTTGGCTTGTTTAATGAATACACACAGAGATATAAATAAAAACAAGGAAAATTAACCAAAATGAACATATTTAGTACTTCTGGGCCCCAGATCTCTTCATACTTGGAGGCCATAAGCATGGCACTCATGCCCAGTAACTGCAATTCCTTCCTTGTCGCAGTCTTCGTTGCAAGGTAGCGATCAACAATGTTGATGGTGAGGTAAAGTGTCTCTGTCATAAGTTCGAACTTGTGATGAACGTCAATCAACCAATCAATCAGAATAGCTCTCATCTTCTCATTTATTTCTGGCTGTGAATCCATATAGTCATGAACTCGGCTCTCATTCTGCACGGTATTAGGTCAAATGATTAGATGCAAGTAGTATTATTGAAAATCAAACTATACATAAAGAAAATATGGCGAAAATAAGTGTCATCTGGATTAATATACCTCAATTTCCTTGTAGAATTTGTATATATCCTCAACATAGTCGACAACTGCTAACTCATTAGTCACATCTGCAGCATCGATATCTATAATCTCCACCTGGCGTTTATCAGCCAGTCCACAAGCAGCCTGAAATACGAGATAGTAGTAGTAATCAGAGTCTAGAATCAAAATTTTCTCAAGAACAATTCGAAGAGTTTAGAAATTATGTATCACCTNAGTCCACAAGCAGCCTGAAATACGAGATAGTAGTAGTAATCAGAGTTTAGAATCAAAATTTTCTCAAGAACAATTCGAAGAGTTTAGAAATTATGTATCACCTTGCTTCGAGATGTAAGAGCTGAAGTAAGAGTTGGAGCTTTCTTTCTATATGACCCTTCACCAGACTTTTTCTTGTTCTTAGTCTTCTCATTCTTGTTCTCTTCCTCAGTATCAGGACTTACCACAATTACATTTTCAGGTTTCGGTTTGACAGTAACTTTCTTCTGAGCTGGCTTCCGTGCTTCGGCTCCTTTAACCCCTTTGACTCCATCCACATTCAGAGCCACTGATTTCTACAAACCAAAAAAATCCAGCACGCTTGTCACAAAACAGCAGTTATAATTAACTCAATTCTGCATTAAGATAAAAAGAAAATAAATTGCAAACCTTGTTTTCTGCTGCTGCAGCTTGTGCATTTGCGAGTAGTTGTGCGCAGAAGCTTCTGATACACAGAAAGATAATCAGTACAGAAACAATAGGACCACAAGAAAGATTTCCTTGAACATATATAGACACTATATAACCACCACCTTATCTAAAATTTCAACCTTTTAGAAAGAGGTGTAACATAAGAATTTACCTAGTAGGCACACATGTAAAGGGAGACGAAGAGAGAGATAAACCTTGTAACAGGGCGAGAGACTTGAGGCAATGGTTTGCCATCGACTCCACGAATTGTAACCATATTCCCAATATCACCTAGGGCACGGCGATTTCTCCCTTCGGCTGCCGTGTTTTTCTGCTTAACATCCTCTGGACCTGCCTCGGCTGTAAAGAATCATTAGGAATCACAATCAAATCATGAGAGCATTTGAATAGAAGATAAATCTCCAACCGAAGCATAGAAATCAGAAAACAATATAAGCAGAGAAGATTGAACAAAACAAAGGGACAAAGAAGGGGCCATCAGCAACAAGATGAACAATGCAAATCAAGGACCAACATTGAATTGTGAACACCGAAGAATCCACTTCAATAGAGAACTATCACAAAATGAGACAGACCAGAAAGGAAAAAGAAGAACAGGTCTATCCTAAAATTTTACAAAATAGAGAAAAACCATTGGGTCAAACAATTTCACTATGCTATAGAACAGAATAACTATGCCAGACATGTCTATCAAAACACATGTTCTAGATGGATTACACAAATCAAAAAACCAGAATCAAATCACAAACTGAAATATATCCTTTCAATTTAAACAGAGAAGAAGGCACACAAGGAGAATGAGCCAGAAACGTATAATCCAGAAAAAACTTGAGTTACATAATCCAGAAAAACTTATTTGGACTTAATATTGTATTTTTTATCTCTTTGTTGTAAAAATCAACTGTCTAATTAATATTCTATCATCTAACTGTAGAGAGTTGTAATTTTACTCTCCACATTAAATTCAATTCCCCTTTTTTATTGGGTTTGGATTTTTTGCCTAATTATTTTTTATAACACACAAAATGACAAGAAAATAAAATAGTAGTAGCTTTTGGGTTTGTGCTGTTTTATTATAAGAAGATTCAGAATTTACAAGCTAGTACTTTCACTTCTCTTTCCCGACGTCTTCAATCCATTAGGAGCTTAATTACCTTATGGCCTCCGAATTCGAGTTTGATTAATAACGTTTTTAGAATGTGAAAACTACGTTAGTATTTTGGGTTGAGTTTTTAGAATGCAACAAAATGGTTTCTAGGTATATTTTCCATTGTTATTGAATATTGTCATTTCATTTGCCATATTTGCTTAAGGCCTCTACTTGTCCCAGGCAGCCCCTGGTGTCCACAATCAACCAGTGGACTTGTATCAAATGAAAGTCACGTGATTTATCGAATACACACCCACTATCACATACCAATTTTCCAAAAGGTGATGAATTACACAAGAAGTTGGAGATACAAACCCAAAAGCTCAAGATACAAACACAAGAAATTATAATGAGATCGCTCCTTCAGTCAATATTACACAACAAAGTATTAAAGAAAACAAAATCTAAAATCCTAAGAACTTTAAAATCTAAAGAACCTTTTTTTTTTTTTTTGTCAGAAAAAATCTAAAGAACTCAGTGGTCCACTATTCGAACAATACGAAAGAACCAAACAAAGCCCATTATTCGAACAAAAAGAAAGAACCAAACAAAACCACACCACTACATCTAAATGAATATTAATGATTCTATATATATATATATATATATATATATATATATTGTGTGTGTGTGGGCATGTGTCTAGAGAGAGGGCAATTATAGAATACGTCTGTTTTGCGGTTGAACAATGGGTCTTGCAGCCATCTCTGAACAATGGTTCTTCCAAGAACTCCTCCAAATCTTGAAGATAAACTCACCAACCCTTATTCGCGACCACTAAATTCCTTCTTCTGGGTCTGTGATCGGCTCAGCTCTCTCTCTCTCTCTTTCTCTCTCTCTCACAGATGAATTCTCTCAGAAATAAAAGATTTGGGGACTGAGTCAGGAGGCGCACTTATTTGAAGCTAGAGAACCGGCGCTTCACTCCCAGTCCTAACGGTCTTATTTGTTTGAAATCGCAACCGTTGGATTGCTGGCCGATCAGACAACTTTGATTTGGTTTCCGAAAATCCGCACCGCACAGTGCCGTCGAGGCTGTTCAAAAGTTACCGTTAGAGTTATGGGTAAATCAAATAAATGAAGACCTTTGTTTTAAATTATTCCAATTTGTCCCTTGTAATATATAATTTATTTCAATCTATCCCTCTTATTAAATTTAATAATTAAATAAAAAATTAATGGGTAAATTACATTCACACTCCCAGACATTTTATTTTATTACATAGACACCCCTCACATTTTAAAAATAAACCAAACTCCTTTGACATTTAAAACTTGTAACATCCACACCCCCACCAACTAACATACGTTATATTTGTTAACAGTCAATGCTGATGTATTCAATCATAATTCTCAAAATATCAAAAATACCCTATAAATTTATCCAACCTCTCATTTACTTTTTTTAATCTATATATGAAATATATTGATTAAAATTTAACACTTATATGTTTAATTTATAAATATATTACATTAATAAATAAAATATTAAATTTTTTTGTTTATTAAATAATATTTGTGACACCCCAAAAAAATCGGGGGTCCTTAATTTAATAAAATTCGAGCAGAGTCTCCTTTGTACGGGAAGCTCTACCAAAAACACAACTTGTGCATCATACAATCACATGACCCATCCGAAATTCAATATACAATATTGACTACACCGGGTTTATTTATAAATAAACATTGACCACATCGAGTTCATTTATCCGTACTCATATAATAGCATGCAAGATTTCATTTAAATAGTCCAAAAAATAACTTAGCAAATGTTTTGCAAAAACATAGTTTTTCACAATAAACTCTATATATACAAGTTCCATTGTAAGTAATTTCATATAATTACATGTCCAAAAACATAATTTTACAATAGTTTTACAAAAACTTGGTTCAAAAGCCACAACCCGACTTTTCTTCATCTTTGAGACCCCGAATGAAAGTCATCCACCAGGGTGTATCCCACACCTGAAATGTGTTCCCGTATACGGTGAGCTATGCCCAGTAGAGTATTTCTTACAGAGGCTACTTCTCAACCTAAGTGCATATGTAATGTTTACATGTAACATTTAACAACCACAATTCATTCCATACAAGAATATATAATTCTAGATAGAAATTCTACCATGTCATGTCATGATATGAGATGATACTCACTCATGCATTTTAGTCCGAGTCCTCACTAACACCTCTCACACTAGGCGATGCCATGAGTATAAAATCGAGNCTCCAAAAAAATCGGGGGTCCTTAATTTAATAAAATTCGAGCAGAGTCTCCTTTGTACGGGAAGCTCTACCAAAAACACAACTTGTGCATCATACAATCACATGACCCATCCGAAATTCAATATACAATATTGACTACACCGGGTTTATTTATAAATAAACATTGACCACATCGAGTTCATTTATCCGTACTCATATAATAGCATGCAAGATTTCATTTAAATAGTCCAAAAAATAAACTTAGCAAATGTTTTGCTAAAACATAGTTTTTCACAATAAACTCTATATATACAAGTTCCATCGTAAGTAATTTCATATAATTACATGTCCAAAAACATAATTTTACAATAGTTTTACAAAAACTTGGTTCAAAAGCCACAACCCGACTTTTCTTCATCTTTGAGACCCCGAATGAAAGTCATCCACCAGGGTGTATCCCACACCTGAAATGTGTTCCCGTATACGGTGAGCTATGCCCAGTAGAGTATTTCTTACAGAGGCTACTTCTCAACCTAAGTGCATATGTAATGTTTACATGTAACATTTAACAACCACAATTCATTCCATACAAGAATATATAATTCTAGATAGAAATTCTACCATGTCATGTCATGATATGAGATGATATTCACTCATGCATTTTAGTCCGAGTCCTCACTAACACCTCTCACACTAGGCGATGCCATGAGTATAAAATCGAGTTTTTCTAGCCCTTGTCAATTATTTAAAATCTCCGAATCTTTCTTGGGGTGGATGTTTATGGACTTACACTAACGGCACCCAACTGACACGGAAGTTATGGACTTCCACCAACAGTTTCGCGTACACCGACACACTTCATGACTCTTATACCAATGGAGTGCGTATCCAATCATCGGGTCTCTCACCTGAGAGATAATTTAGCCCTTCTTGCTAATTCCGACCCTAATTTTTAATGTAGTCATGCGACTCAATAGGATATTCAATTCACCCTTCTCGAGTCCACTTATCAATCCACCAAGTGTGGTATTTGATCAAACCATGCCCACATATCACACTCATGCATTTATGCACATGGATGTGATGCCAATTTTATACTCAAAATGCAATGAATGTCAAATGAACTAATTTAACCACATATTTCAACATATATCATGAAAATTTATCAATTGTATAGAATTACCATAAATTATCATGATGTTAATGTATTAACAACATATCTCAACTCATTCATCCTCAACAAAAATTCACAAGCATGTTATACAAAACTCATGCCATAATAGACTTGATTCCACATAAACATTTAGCAAAACACCTTCAAGACAAACAATTCATGTTATCAAACAAATTTTGCCCAACAATATCAAGTTCCAAGAATTTTCACATGGAACCTCAAATATCAATTGATTAAATTATTTCTACACCTACTCCATAACTATAGGCAAGTGAAATATATAGTTCCATATACCTACCCATTTCTATTAAACCAATTATATAATAGGAAAGTTTTAAAATACACAAAACAACCCACATAAACCCAATTTCCAAGAGTTTACACCAATAGTTTCTACATATCAAATTTAAGCTAGAAGTTGGTCTAAGGCATTTATATACCCAAGTCCTCACTTCCATAACAAGAGGCAAGTGACATGTATAGTTCCATAAACCTACCCATTTCATATGGACCCATAAGCTAGAAATAAACCAAAGTAGGAGGGAACCCAACCTCTTGGAGCTTAAGATGAGTGTAGAGAGCCTCAAGAACACTTCCTAAGCCCAAAGTTCTTGATTTCTCCAAAAAAATTTCTTTGGATTTTTGGTGAAATCCTTCGTTCTTGGTACGTAGACATAGCCCTTGTTGCGGTGATCAATTTTAACTCCTGGTGTAGGTGATTCCGACAGATGAAACTCCGTGAATCGAAGGGAGAAATGTAGAAATTTTTGTTTTTCTTCTTCTTCTTCTTCCAACATGTGAACCAGCAGAAAATGGAAAGAGAAATATCTGATTTTCAGATATTTTACCCATATTTATAGTTTTTAATTGCGCGGTCCACATCGCGCCACACGCTCCCCTTTTCCTAGGTCCGTTTTTCACTCTGAAACGATTAAATTTCGTACCGGTTTAAGTTTAAAATATTTTATATGAACTTTATTTAAATTATTTTTTAAATTTTAAAATTTTAATAAAAATTTTGTTTTTGGGGTCACTCAAGACCTGATTGTCTCATAAAACGTGAAAAATTTGACTATCTCAGAATTCGACAAAATTTATCTGAGTAACTAGATTTCGCGAAACGAATCCAATTGTGAGGTCCGTTTCGTCATCCGAGCTCTAGAGAAATACGGGTTTTCAACTCACACTATAGTGGTAAATTACTATTTTACCCTTTTTCATAAAAAGTTTAAATTTTTCTGGGTTTTACAATATTTTATACTATTAGTATAATTTAAAAAGTAATCATTCTTTTAAAACCTTAATAATTACTTAATCCAATTATCCTATATTAAATTTATTTATTATTATTATTTATCTAATTATATAAATTTTTACTCTTATCACCCATCACCACCAGTTTCACCACCGACACCACAATAGTACATCTGCCACCCAACACATCCAAACACCACCAGCATAGAGAGAGAGAGAGACAGAGAAACCATAACCCCACCTCTGCCTCCACCATTGAAACCACCACAAGACCAAACTCATCATCAATTATCTCTGTACATGACCTTTTTCCTCCACAACATTGCCACCATTACATCGTCATCAACTCAGTAACACGCACCTACAATCACCACCACCACCACCACCACCATAACAACAAAAATGCTCGCCACCACCACCACCATAACAACAAAAACGCCAACCATCGCCACCACAACAACAAAAACGCCCGTCACCCACCACCACCAACACCACAACAATAACAAATGCATCAGAACTACAAGACAAAGAGAGAGAGTTAGAGTTTCAAAATCATCCGCCATCACATCAAATCTAAGAGATGAAGAGAAAGGACCCAGGGTTTCAAAAACCATCGTTGACCTTTCGATATCTTAGATTTTTTAAGCTTTGAACCCTTTCAATTTCTACTACGATTTTGGGCTAATTCTCAGGTGATTTTGGGTTAGCTAGTTCTTCTGTTGAAGGTTGCTGCAGTGGTGGAGAAAGAAGACTGATGATTTCAGGCTAGTTCTTCGCCTTGAGAGACAAAATTAGAGATAGAGAGAGTAGTGATGAGCGTTGGGTGCAGAGGATGACGAAGATTAGGGTTAGGGTTAGGGCTTGGGGTTTTTTTTATTAAGATAGTTAACTCTGTCTAACAATTGGTGTCTCAGTGTTATTTTTAAATTGTGAGGGGGTGTTCGTGTAATAAAATCAAATATCAGGGGATGTGAATATAATTTATCCAAAATTTATGGTCACTATTAGCTAAATTTGCATTATTTATCAGTTAATCTTAACAGAGGAGATCATTTAAAATAAATTACATAGTTTAAGTATAAATTAAGACAATTAAAAATTTAAACAACAAT